CGCTCTGTGGTCACATGATTTCACAGAAACACTCTGAGTCTCTCCTCCCCTTGAAAGAAGGGAAGTTCATATCCACATCTCACTTTTTCTATTGACTTTTGTGTTGCTCCTACTTGAACCAGAAAATATGAAATACACATGAAGGCTTAAACAAAATACATAAACATGTAGAGAAACGAAACAGCTGAAAATCAGTGGATTGTTAAATTGCTGGTCATCTGTTTTGAGAGAGAAAAATGAGCAGAAATGAATGAAGATGAATTAAGACGACTGCTGCTGACCCTCTAGGGTCTGTGTCCACTGTCTGTAGATGGATTCACTAAAAACAAACTGAAACCAGCAGCTCAATGAAGGGAGGAAGCTTGGTGCTATACAAATAAAATTTGAATTTGATTTGCTTTAATAAAAACATACATTCTATCTGTTCCTGAAAGACCCTGGTTTCATTTTATTTAAATATAAAGCTTAACATAATTAAGAGACACTATATTATTTACTGGCCCATAAAAATTCTCATGACACCTGATATTTATCTCAATATGTTGTAATCTCCTATAGAGCACCTCATTTTAACTCTTTGATGCATAAAATCACTATGATGATTCATAGTCTGTGCATGAAAACATTTGTTTATATCCATCCATTATCACTTATTCCTGAATAAGGTCAAAGGGTCAGGGTGAGGGGACAGGTCTCCAGTCTGTCACAGCATTTGTTTATATTCACCAGTGATTTTCTATTGGAACAGTTTGAAACCTACAAGCAAAAGGGGGAAATCACAACAAGGTTAAATATAACAAAACAGTATTTATTCAAACCAGGCGACTGCACACGTCGACTTTTAACAGCTGTTAAAATAAATAACGGCATTACAGACCTATATACTGCATCGTTTGCATCACTCTACAACTCTGCACATTGTTTAATAATTATTTACAGCAATTCTGAAAAGAAAATAATTCAGGTTTAATCTGTATCAAAATGTATAGAGTTACATTACAATAGGGGGAAAACAGCCGCCTTTCCGTTTGTTTAAATTAAGGGAATTATTTATTTCATTACAACAGGTCTAAAAAAAGAAAAAAAAGATTTAATTTATTTTTTTATCTCTAACAAAACTATTAGGCCAAAATTCCTTAAAATTAAACTGTGTTGGGGAGAAATGGACGCTTTCCTGAAAAGAGAATGAATTAATTGAGTTGTTACACAAATCCATATTTAGAGAGAAAACCCTGAAACCTAAATCCGCACACTGGGGAGAAACAATTGCTTTTCCTAAGGATATTTACTTAATGTAGAGAGAAACATTAAGCTTTACATCCATAAAATATTTAGAGAGCAACAAAGTAAGTCTATCACCTGCTGCTCTGTCCTATTGGAAAACTCTAATAAAATCCCTTCAATGTAATAACCTGAGCCAGAGGGTGATGGTCAGTCCTGTTCCTACAGGAAACCTCAGGAAAATCCTTTACTATTGTTATAAAGCCATAAATTAGTCCAAGTGGACATGAGTGGACAGAGAACAGACATTCAGGGCGATCTGTTCCAGTCTGACAACAAGCTGGTAGACCTCTTCAAGCAGCTGATTCTTCTCTATCTTCAGCTTTTCCATTTCCTCTTTTAGATTTTCCAACAGGCTTAATTTCTTCTCACTTTCAGCTTTATTCTTTTCATACTTCTCTTTCATTTCCTTTACAGTCTTCATAACTTTCCTGGTCTTGGTCACATATCTCCATTGTACTTTCACATGATCTGACACTGGACACTTATTGGTACATGAAGTACAGTGGCCTTTTTTCATGACCTCACAGCTGTTAGGACTCCAGGCCATTGTGCATCCAGGATAGTGACAGTTCTCCTCACAGACAATGCAGCAGACAGCTCCTTCATAAAACACCAACCACCACATCCCACCTGTGATATCCTCTCTTTCTTTGTAAACCTCATCAGCTTCTACTGTGAACTCCTCATTCATCTTCATCTCTTGTTCATGTTTCTTCAGCACTTCTTCATTATGTTGGATCACTTTTTGTTTTTCCTCAATCAATCTGATTCTCTCCTGCAAGTTGTTGATGCAGGCTGTGATTCTGATGCGAACGTTCAACACTTCAGCTGTTGTCATCAGCTTTTTGGATGCAGCTCTTTCCAGGAAGACTGTAAATTGACCCATTTCAACATTTGTTAAGTCCCATGAAATTTTTAAAGCAGCTCTATTTCTCTCTGT